TAAACCTTATTTTCAATAAGCAATCCTGAAAAATATTTGGGGGTGCTTAACTTTTTTCCAGGTGTATATATGAAAAAATTATTTTTACTATAAATTACATACAATGAAAATTGGCAAAAAACATCAGTTACATTAGCACAAGTGCATTTAAAGGCATACCTTCATCTCTATCACGACGAGGAAGATCTCTTTCCCTTTCACGTCTCCATTCTTCACCTTTGGTAGGTGGTGGCTCATCTCTATCACTTCGTTTTCGCCAGTCCACATCGTTATCCTTGCTTGCAGTGTAACGAGGACCCCAACTTTCCTTCTTGGCCAGTTCTCGTTCACGCCAGTGAGCTACAGAGTATGAAATTTAAATGCATTTCTTACCATATGCTACAAAACAACTACATTTTAAAAAAATATCAAAGCAATGAAATTTTAAATATATGAAACATCTAAAAGTCTAAATTACAAGGTTTTTACTAGCATCTTTCATTTAGTTTGTCAGAGGCTTATGTAAAGCTACAAAAAGGCAATATGTACTAACCATCCATAATTTGAAATGACATATTAATGTGAAGAAAACTAGTCAACAGCACCCATCAACAGTGGAGTAGTGCTAAATAAAGAAGTGCCAGAATGGAAAATCTACTGCATAACCACATACTGTTAGTTTGTTATAAATAATGGTCATACAGCATTCCAGCTAGAAAAAAACAAGTGTGAAGTGTTCACAAGTACCCACCCCACTACACCTCTGGTCACCATCAAGTCTTGGGGTACTCTGACCAAAAAATGGGATTTGACTTTTTCCCTTATTATGTACTCATAGGCCTAAAGTGTGGGTGTTGGTAAAACTCAACCAATATGAGTACTATGTAAAATTTAAAAAAAAAGTTAAGATATTAAATACTGTTATGGCTAGAAGTGTTTTTTTTTCTATACTTGAGCAGTACTTTCAAATAATAAAATGAATCTTTAGAAACAAGAGCATTGAAACACTCATAACTCAATACAGTATTGCTGACATATACAATAATGAGAGAAATAACACATAACGCTATCTGCCCAGGCATCATTTACTGCGCATGCCACAAGGTTTTAGTGTCTTACATTCAAACTTTTATTTAACTATTTTTATGTTATACTAATTGGTATAACATAAAATCTTTGCTAATAATCCATATTTTAATAGTATAAAACTCCAATAAGTATGAAATTCAATCACTATAAAATGGTCATTGCTCAGACAAACCATAATTTTTATAACTTTCAATTTTGTTTGGTTACAGAGCCATCAAATAAAAAAATCAGAACCCTCTTGCCACATCTACCTGTCACATCCTCTCTTTCAGGATTTGTATTAGTTCTCCCACATTTAATTCTATATTATCTATAACCAATAGAAAGCTAAGGTTTTTTGTCTATCAAATAACATTACGTTATTTTCTAAATGGAGAATTGTCAATTTCTCATGTCACATAGTTAGAAAGCCAGAAAAATTGTGATAGTTAGAAGAAATTGTCTGCTTTTTGCATGTTATTATTCTATGTTTTTGGTGCATTATTTGATTCAATAAAAATTATTAAGTGCATTACTACCATTAGTATAAAAAAGTAGGGTTGAGTGTCAGCGACAGTTGACAGCAAAAAAGTAACTAAAGTGTAAACATAGGGATCTCTAAGTTAATTTGGTAAAATAAATAATAATGATAAAATAAAAATATTTCATGAGGCACACATGTGAGCAGCTTGTGGATAATGTAATTCTATAGCATAACATGAGTTGCACGTTCTCCAAGTGATTTACATCTTATAATGGTGCAAATAATAGTTAGACATGGTTCAAAGGTCAATCAATGGGTAATAAAACAGTAAAATTTAACTATAAATAGATGTATACTGTTAAGAGTTCAAAGCTACTTAAGATAAACAAATATAGTTTCATGTTACTTTGAAGTCATTCTAGAAAGAAAAAGGTAATTTACATTTATTTCGATTTTTTTTTGGTGGTTACAAGATCAGTCAAATTGACCAACCTTGTATAGAGTTATGGTAGAGAAAATAACAGACAAAATATACAGTTTTACTAAAAACAAACATTTGAAATGTATTTAGGAGGTCTTAGAGATTACACAAATAAAATTTGAGATTTTTGAGATGAACAAAAGTATTTTAATCTTAACACAAAATTCACTTTGCACACAGACTATTCAAAACAAATACTTAGTATATTCACAAACAAATCTTCTTTTTATTTCACTAAAAATAATTCACTGAAAATGATTTTTTTTATACGTGAAAGACTTATAGTTTACTATAACACTGCCAAATTTCCTAAAGATATACACACAGTATTAAAACTTAGTAGTATCAAATCTATAAAGACTTTGACTGAGTACAAAGAGATCATAAGGTCAGTAATTAAAAATTATTATATACATACAAGAAGGTTTCCAAGCTTCAGGTCTCTTTTCTTCTCCTTCCCTAATGAAACAAAGATTTGTTTTTTTTTTGCTTAGCTTGTACTTTTTTTTTTAAATATTAAGCCTCATCTAGGAAGTTAAACCTCTTCTTTTAAAATATTCATTTAAATACAACTATGTAACTTGATAACCCAATTACAAGATTTTCCTTCAACAAACAGAAGAATCAAACAAGAAGATATTTGTTACAAACTTTTCTCAAGAATCAATATTTAGCTAAATAATGATATATACTTTTGTCTCTTAAAAAAAACTATTTCATGGCTACTGGCAATTTTCCCCATTCTCATTCAGACTCCTTTTAATGAAAATGTTCTTGCATCATAAGAAACTACTCAGATGATGCACAGTGAATATTTTCATTCATCCATTGTTGGTACATTCTATTTAGCATGTGGAAATTATACTGGAACCAAAAAGCAGTAGTGACAATAGAAGATAAATTAAGTGACTGGGTAATAACCAGAAGAAGAGTCAGACAAGGATGTGCGCTCTTGTCTAGGCTGTTTGACTTGTACGAAGAGATGATAATGAGAGCAATTTACGAGAAAGCAGGTGTAGAGGTTAACAGAAGAAATAAATAACATTAGATATACAAATATGGTTTTGAAAGCAGAAGCTAATTGAAATAATCAAACAAGTGAAAAATATGGGTTTGGCCATAAACATTAAGAAAACAAAAACTACATTTGTGAGCAAATCAAAGGTACTCCTAAAATGTGCAATTAAAACAGATGGACAAGTAATAAGATTCTCGTATCTTGGAAATGCATTAACCAGTGACAAAGAAATAAACAAAAGGATATGGCAAACGCTGCATCCATGAATATGAAACACCTACTTTAACACCATCAAGAAAATAACATACAAGGATGGTAAAATATTATGTCTGATCAATGTTGTTGCATGGCTGTGAAACAGACAATTAGCAAAATGATGGAACAAAAGCTGACAAGTATAAAAATGGGGATTCTAACTGAATGCTGAAAAACAAGTTAAGAATATGATAAATGAGGAAGTTCCAAAAACAGCAAATTAATCAATTTATAAAAGTTACAGTGGTGAGCAAGACAAAATTTTTGGAATGTGGTGAGAGATAAGAGGGAATGGAGAATCTGTGCATTACACGTAAGATTAAGGACAAGAGATCACACAAAATAAATATGTAAACATTTGCATATATTAAAGTAGTTTGGCTCACAAAAAATGTCAAAAGAAAGACAAAAAAGTGACAATATGGATATCCTGAGTTGGTATGGCTCACAAGGACAGACAAAGAAGTGACTATATGGATATCCTGAGTTGATATGGCTCACAAGGACAGATAAAGAAGTGACAATATGGATATCCTGAGTTGGTATGGCTCACAAGGCCAGACAAAGAAGTGACAATATGGATATCCTGAGTTGGTATGGCTCACAAGGACAGACAAAGAAGTGATAACATGGATATCCCGAGTTGGTATGGCTCACAAGGACAGACAAAGAAGTGATAACATGGATATCCCGAGTTGGTATGGCTCATTAGAACAGACAAAAGAAGTAACAATATGGATATCCTGAGTTGGTATGGCTCACAAGAACAGACAAAGTTGTGTATCTTATAATAAACAAGGGACAGGAAAAGATGGAGAACCAAGACTACTATCAACAATCCCCAGATCTTGGTTGACATATGATGATTGTAACCATGTTATTATTCAGGCACTTTAATAATCCTCAAACCTCTCTAAGGCTCAACAGCATCCTTCTACAAACTTTGGAGTCCATATTCAATAATTTTGTCTAGGTACACACACTTATAAAGATTTGGTACTACATGTACTGTTTCCTTTCTGCCACACCCATTCAATTTGTGTACTGAAAATTAATGGATCAATAAATGCTAATACTTACATAAAGAATGGATTTCAACTGGTCAACCAACTTTAGTCAAGTATAAAAAAATTAAGTTAATGTTTAGAATGTAAGAAATTAAAAAGAGCCTCCATCAAAAGAACTTCCCTTGTATGTTCCAATCACCAGTAAAACAACATATTATGGAAACAAGCAGATTTTACAAGAAGTTCCTGTATAATAAATAACATAATGGCAATTCTCTGGAACTTGTGTGATTTACCTTTAAAAAAATATTACACATGACAGTCTAATTAGTGTTCTGTTAAACTTTGTGCAAAGCTACTTGATGGCTACAGACCTAGCCATTGCTAATTTTAAAGTGATAGACTATAGAGAAACCAACCACTAAACACCACCAACTCGTGGGCTAATCTAATTGAATAGTGGGATTTGACCATCACTTTTATAATGAACTCACAACCACAATGTGTGGACCTTTCTTTCTTTGACTTTAATGAAGCAAGAACCATGGTCCATGAATCCACAAAGCGTAACTATCATAACCAGAGAGAAACTATGTGATACACCTTTTTATAGCACTATTTCTATGTACAATAGAAACAATAAAAAGTTTAATTTATCTGAATAAAAAGTTACATGCAACAAAAAATTTGTTCCCCAACATTAGTGATGCTACTACCACATACACCAAAGTTTGATGTTTCTCATATCATCAAGTTTTTCATAGTTTCTTTTATGTTACTAAATCATAATTTTTCTTTTACTATATTGTTGTGAACAATTAATGTTTTGTTTTTAAATGTACCTGAATTATATAATTGTTTGTTGGAATTTTTTTTATTGCAATTAACTCATAAGTTATTATGGAGGAAAGATACTGTATGTGTTCAATGTCATTTGGTAAAATTTCATGTGAACAGTTCAGTGTTGTTTGTTGAAAATTTGATGTAAACTGTATGCATTAGTATCATTTGGTGAAATCTTATGTATTAATTTTTTTCCAGTTTTGAGTTTTGAACATAGGTTTGATATATAGCATGGTATGTGAAGTATCTCGGAGTGTTGTAGTGTCTTCAGTGAGTCAGTTAAGAGTCCTGTATCAGAGAAACGTGATTGTGTGACCTAAAAACTGGGTAGTTAAGCCAGAGTCCAGCACTGTTTGGAAAAGTGAAATATTTTCTACAAGTGTCTAATACACCAGTTATTCAAATCAAATTATGGACTATTCATTCTTATTTTAATTGGTCCAGTGTAAAAATACTTTTGACCAACTACTTGAATACTTCAAATATAGAGATAAAAATGTTTGTCAAACTACTTCTTCAATTTATTTCAAAACTAAATAAGATTTGGTTAAAACAAACTTTTTTTTTTTAAATTAAAAAAAGTAACTAAAAATTTCACTTATGTACTTTCTTCTCCAGCTGACTTCTTCTGGCCTGAAAATAGTAAAAAAAAAAAAGTTACTCAACAGAAAAAGGAAAAAGAAAGATACATAAGGATTAAAACAAGTGAAAGACTGAAATAGTACATCTTACCTTTAAAACCAAGTTCAGTAAAGTTCACCTTGAATGTATATCAAAATTTACTAAAGGTATGACAAGTGTACAAAATGTTAAAATAGATTTTTTAATTCAAAGTGGCTATTGAAAAAACAGCTTACGCCTGTGGTTGTTTCTTTGCTTCTTTCTCTTCACGTTCACGAGCCGTTCTCTCTTCTTCTTCTTGACGTAGCTTCTCTTCAATTTCCAGCTCTCTGGCTCTTTTCTTGGCCTCTAGTTCCTCCAGCTTAGCAAGTTTTTCTTCATATTCTAATTTAAGAAACAATTTTAATGACTGGGTGTTTATTTACTACACTGCAAAGTTTGACCAGTCAGTGTAATGCACAATTTAGAACTATCAGATTAATCTTTATTTAAAATTGTGGCAGATAATAAAGGTGGCGCAACGTTCATTACTTTCAATTGCTTGATTATAAATAAAAATCAACTGTGTTTATTATTATGAAAGAGGCTGGGGAAACCACCTACCTCCACTTTTCATTACTATTATGGAATTGGTAAATTTGTGCAAATAACATGAAAAAAAAAAGATCTTTCACATTTTCTAAGCAAAGGTTGTAGACATTATCAGTACACTGATTTTTTTTATTTAGGGTGGGGGGCATATTAATTCAAATATCTTTAAGGAATGTGGTTCTTGATGCACAGTCGAAGAAAAGGTTGCATGATCATGGAAAGAAATCTGAAAGTGTACACATACCATTGTGGTCTGCCATCATAAAAAAACAATAACTTACGTCTAGGTGATCCACAAACAATAAAAGTTGAAAGCTACTCTTCTAGGAGTAAAAAACTTACTTAATTAAGCTTTTAAGATTCATTTGCTACTGCTTAACGATCATGATCAGACAAATCCAATACAACATTTTGAGACTACTGATTAATTCAGCAAATAATGGTATGTTTTTGAAGTTCCAAAAATGTAGCTAGCAATTGTTTTTTAACCATGGCTATCAAAAACAAAGCTCTTAAAGATTAAGACATATTTACTCATATTTTCTTATGTTTTATACATACTTAACATATTCAGATCACTCACTATTAGACAGAACTGTACAACCATTAACTGTAACAATAATTTACCCCTTTTCTTCTCTTCATCACGTTTTCTTTGCTCTTCTTCTTCTTTTTCTTTTATCCACTTCCGACGGCGTTCTTCTTTTCTTTTTTCTTTACGCTCCTTCAAACGTACTTTTCTCTCCTCAGCCAACATCTTTTCAAATTCTGCCAATTTTTCCTAGCAATACAATAGCTTTACTAATTTCTTTTGAATAAAAATTGGGCAAAATCATGCACACAAATACAACTCCCTAAAAATTAAATAATAAATAGTACATAAGAAACTATAATTTTCAAATGGGCTGGATTTTTAAATTAAGTGTTAGATCAATATAATCAAGATTTGAGGGAAAAAAAAGAGCGTGCTACCTTGTATACTGACATTCGTTCAGCCTTAAGTTTGTTCACAAATTCATCCTTGTCTTCTTTCATATGGGCCAACCGATTACGATGTTGAACAGCAATTTTTCGTTTAGCAATAAGTTGTTTTATCTAAAATGTATAAAATGCCTATAGGTATTGTTGAATCACTATTCCTTTTTTAAATCTCTTACAAGTTAGTCGTTAATTAATAGAACAAGTCAACAAATACAAAAATCTTATTTCTTAAAAAATACATTGAAAGATGCAAGTAATACACAATCAGCATATTAGATGAAACTAAACAAAACTTTTACTTTATCTTAACCTAATTAATACAATTGGTAACAGAACTCAGTGTTTTTAAAAGGGCAACTTTTTATAGTTGGTTTGAAAACTAACAGACTGCAACTGCTTGTTAAAAGAAAAGGATGAAAAGCCAAATGTTTTGGCTTCTATACCAAGGTTTCAGTGCAGAAGTTGAAACATTGTCTCCTTTTCTGTCAAAAGACAGCTATAATCCATTGAAGTGAAGAATTAAAACCTCGTGACATGCGCAGAAAAAGATGCCTGTAGCAAGATAAAGTACCTATGAATGAACTTCACAGAAAAGCAGTAAATCATGTTTCAAACTATTCCAGTGCTTAACTAGCTCTAATTTATTTAACTTACTTTATAAACTTTGCTCTTCAAAGTAGCCCATGCAGTTAAGATGTTTTTAAAACCCCCAAAATAAGGTCAACCAAAGTGTAATAAAGACCCAACAACATAATTATTGGGGTACAGCACATGTTCTTACTTAAACCCATGTAATGTAATTACAACTAAAACAAATCTTCATTATGAAATGTATGTACAGAGTGTGCTTGGTTTACAACTTATCTGTATATTTATTATTTAAAAAGCCTTAGCAACAGTAGATTTTACAAAAGAAAATAAAGATGAATCGTGCTATAACTTACACGTTCTTCTTCTTCCTGGTACCAAAGTTTCTCATTTTCTACTTTGAATTCTTCATAAGCTTTCTGAAGGTAAGGTATTTCTTCTATCCTCTTGGCTCTCTCTAGATGATCAATCTAAATGGAATAAATGTTTTATACATAAAAACTACCAGTAAACTTTCACTCGCTATTAACCTAATCATAAAAACTTTTATGACATTCCATTCTAGATGAATAGTAACTCTTACAAAGATGATTTCAATGCAGTCTAACAACAATCTAACTTACATATATAAACTTCTCTTTAAACAAGATAAGTGTTAAGTTCTGTTTTTATAAATTGGCATGCAAACAACACATTGGTAAGATGCAAACTGTACAAATCAGATGAAGGAAGATTAAAAAAAAAACAAAAAACAGTACACCTAATAGAATACACACAGGTGGCATTTTATAAACCAATTTGATTAAAACTTCCAAAAAAAAGTTATATCTATACATTGTTCTTATTTAAAAACCTTTCATGGACATGTAATTGTCTAGCTAACATGTACATTGCTAAAATAATTATTCTATTTGATTTGTTGTTAAGTGCAAAGCTATGGAATGTGTCTGACTGTATCCACAACAAGGTTCAAACCCAAATTTTCAGCATTATAAGCCCGTTCTCTAACTTACTTCTGAGCCACAACAAGGTATCTAATATCATATCAAAGATTTGTATACAAGTAACAAAATGTACCTTCTTCTCTTGTTTCCGTAGTTTAGCTTGGAGTTCTTTTCTTTCACGATCTAACTGTTCTACTTGTTTAGTTAGAATATCTTCAGGGTCCAGCTTTTCAAGCTCCTAACATTAGAAATTAGAAGTCTGAGAAAAAAACATTGGGAGATATGATAAAGCTTTGTAAATGTGTCATAACCTGTTTACTTTTAGAGACTTATGAAAGTGTAGAAGCTAGTGCGTGTTAGATTTCGAAAGATATCAGATCTTTATAAATGAGTTAGATAAGGATGAGGTAAACAGGGTTCACACACACAGGCTTTAACTACTGTTTCTTAAGGGCTTCCAACAAGAAACATTCATGAAACTTTTGAAAACTTCCTGGTTTTATCCTACTACCTGAAGAAACTGCTGTATTGCTATTATGAAAAACTAAACCTACAGAGTGCTTTACACTTTCCATGTGCAATCTTAATGCACTTTCACACATCTCGTTAGAATTCAAAGAAAATACCATATAGTGACATCCTTTTTGTTCTCTGGTCCAATTTTCAGATTCAACTTCACCTAATTATTTTATATTGAATATGCACTTCTCTATGATGAAAGATCAAAAATATGGTGCACAATTTGTGAAAATAGGTTAACATCAGGTGTTACATAAGCACAATAATATTTATTGCCACTTTCCCATCTGCTGTTTCACCTTAATACTTGACACTTAATGCTGGTTTTATTACAGGTGGAAGGATAAAAAAACAACAACAAAAAAAAAGAATTGAATAGAGTGCCACTCTGGTGAAGACAAAGAGAACTAACAAAAGTACACAATTTAATGAGTGATTGACCTCATGAAACTTCTCAGTAACTCAATTGTACAGGGTGATTCAAAAACTTTTTTACACTTTTAAGGGATTTTCTGTTACAGAGGTTTGATGATGGCAACAAGGTTCAGTTTAGAGAAAAGAAGGAAGGCTACTGCCTGAATGCGGGTTCACTAGTCTCCCACAATCGTATAAAGGATGTTTCGTCAATACTTCAAATCTGACCCATCTTCCAGGTTGACAATTAATCGAGTGTACAAGAAGTTCATCAGAACTGGGTCTGTTGCAGACGATTATAAAGGAAACAGTGGTCATCCAAGAACAGGAAGATCTCCTGGATTGTTTGACTGCTTTCAGACATGCATAGATATTTGTGGAGAGCAACTTGAGACTGTATGAAACATAGGAAATAAAAAATATAAACCCATACAAGTGTTAACATGTTACTGAATCACTCTAATAATGTGTACTTTCGTTTTATACAAAATAAAATTTTATAGGATACTTTGATTTAAGGATTTTTTCAGTGTTTTGTTGAATGAAATTCAAGACAAAGCTCAAACTGAAGGACTTTAAGCTCTATGTAAACCCATGATGAAGCTTTGTAAATGAGTCAGAAATTAATGGTTATTAAACAATTTTTAAAACTAGAATACTGAATTTTTTTTACATATTTAACAGGCTTCAAGGTATCAGACTTCTATATTAGTTTTGTTTTAGAAGCACCATTCACCATATAATAGAGGTTTAACAAAGACACCCGAAGAAATACAAAGTAAAACTTTCTGAAAAAGAGCAACTCCTGTATCTTGTTTCATCTGTACTTGAGGCAATAAAGACAATGCAGAGTGGAAATTGCATGGAATGACATAGCGTAGAATGATACCTACATCAATTATAAAGACTAAGTCTAGTATATGTGCAGTTGCTAATCAGATAATGGCAAGGTATATTTATAGATATAGCCATTTTAACCTACTGTATGTGAATTTTAGTAGAGTAAGATTCTCCTTGTCAGTTTCACACTCCTACTTATCCACTCAAAGCATGTGAGTGACTATCAAATAAAAAAATAAAAAAATATGGCAAACGTTACTACAAAATGATTAGTACTGATTTCACATTTAATTATTATTAAGATGTCAGTCAAGGACAGAGCATGTAAATTTTAAAAAAGGTGGAAAACTGGCCTGTGAAGATTGTTATGCCATATGAATAACTAAAAAATTGAAAAGAAAGGACGGCACAGAGTTAAAGATCAATTCTATAAATTTCAATAGATGCTGTCCAAGGAAACAACCTACAATAAGTTTGTTTCATCATTAAAATACATTGATAAATAATAGGAGGTGCAATCCATACTTGTGTAGTTGATAGAATCCAGAGGAATTTCCTTAAAAAAGGACCTGTGGACCCTGGCATGTTTGTACTACAATGTTACATCAAACACTGTTCTTTTCTGACAATGACTAAATACATGTCTGATAGTTATAAGTCAACAGTTTAAAAATGTTTAAGCATGTATAAAAGTCAATCCAACATTTTAACTATATACATGTTACATGATTTTGACATGAAGACATCATTCATATGTATTTCACCTGGCACACTGTCACTTAATGAAATGTTTTTACTATAATGAAAATTATTGTACACTCAGTGAAAGTTATAATTGTAGGGTATTGATTAACCAGGTTTTTATATTTATATAACTAGTCATGTTCAAATCATAAGATGTACTGTCTCAGTTTGTTTATTCAATTTTTGGAATATAGCAAAACAAAATATGTGTAATTTAAAGAAGGACAAATGTTGAATGCCTGAAGTTCCTAGCTCCTTTGTGCTAAATATAGGTTGCAGACTCTCGGAGCTTACAACACAATTTGTTTAGATAACAAAGCACAGTTTGATACATTCTACAGTGCAGAATTTCAACAAGTATAAATACACCTACAACACAGATAAACAAAACTATTTCCACAAACTTAACATTAGCACTACTCAGTTATTAAATACAATTTTCTGTAACACACTCATACAAAAAAAAAACAAACACATTCCTGCTTTTCAGAAGTGCTTGAAGTAAAATTGCTAAATGATAAAAAAAAAAACTGCAATTTGTTAATTTGGAGATCAAATTAAAGAAAGAGAATTTTAACTTAAGTCAGATATTAAAAAAGTTTGTTTTTTAAAGATATTACTAAACGTTTTAATTCCTAAATTGTCAGCTTGCGTAGGTTCTATGGAAAAGACAAATGCTACATCACACCTCTTCTTCAAGACCTTCAAAAATTCGAGCACCAAGCTCAGTCTTTTTCAGCTGCTCAATCTTCTCCAAAACAACTTTCTTTTTCATTTCATTCTGTTCCTGTAATATCCTCTGTTTCGCTCTTTCTTCAGCTTCTTTAGCCATTCGAACTTCTTCAGCCTCTCTAAGTTTTTGTTGTCGTTCTTCCAATAGCTTTCTCTCTTCCTCTTCCTAGTGTTAAAAGCATACATTTGTATTACTTAGAATTAAGATTACAAACACTTATAATAGTGATCTACGCACCTTTAGTTTTTACCTTTACCTTTAAATATTGAGTAGTATAAAGAAAGGCAAGATAATAAAAAGTATCTGGCAATTAAATGTCAATGGGGTTTTAGTGTTTTAGCTGCAGTACTCAAAATTAGCAATGGCATGCAACAAAGTTGTCGGAATAAATAGTATTTAATGTTTACCCTCAAATACAATGGGGGAAAATAAGCTGTCAAAAGATACTCAAGTTTTGTCTTTAATTTCTTCTCTTTCTTCTGTGAACAACTTCAAATGTTAAGATTTTATAAAAAACAAAAACAAGATACAAACATCTCACCATGCCTAATGTTAAATGTCAGTTATGACTGAATTTAGTGAAGCTGTAATGGGTTAACAGAAATTTGCTAGAAACCAGGCAACCAATTTTCCTACATACATGTATGTTGCTTGAAGAAAGGCAAAAAAAAGTAGGGGTAGATAGCAATATAGTTTCCACTTATAAGTTTTCAAGTGTACTTCAATATTTTGCAAGGACTTATGAAAATATTGATAATACTCAGTTTTGCTTTTTTAATCAAAATAAAATTGAAAACTAGGACTGACATGCACTCTGTCAAACTATGTGTAATTTCATTTTGGATTATTGGGGTTTTATAAAGGAAAGTGAAGTTTATTATTTTAAATTTCCAATAGTTTGACATATTTTAGATATCGTTTATGCTTGGCCTGTATAAAAAAAGTTCCAGTTTTATGCGACATGAAGTATACAAAATATTGTTTGAAAATGACGCTGTTAGAAGTCTTTTCTTGTATTTTGCTAGCATAAAATAATATATATATTTTTTTTAACAAGTATTGCTTCATTTTGACTTTCTCTAGAAGATGAATATCATATGGGCAAGTCATGACAGTTTATCACACATGTTCACCTTAGAATACTGCACATAATTTTATGATTTCACCCAAAATATTTAATGAGTATAAAAACTTAATGTAAGCATTTTGCTTTAGGTGAAAATGCTTGCCTTGTATACTGCTCACATATTGTTTTTAAGTGGAAGAACCTTTTCAGAATGGACGACATTATATGCCCGTGTTGTTGTCTTAATTAATGCACTTTTTTTTGTTTCTCTTAGACTTGATGTCCCAATTTCAATTCAATATTTATTCCATCTATGTGTAACACTCCTGGATAAACAAAGTTGTTTATTACTTCTGATAAATACAAGATTTTCTCTAAATATTGCTTGTTAAGAAGTCAGCCTACTATAACATTTCATATGCAATAGAACTAAAATTGACCCCTGTCACAAACAAAGCACTGGAAAGGTAAAAACTTGTTTGGTTACAGCTACGAGACTAAAAAGTCATAACTTTACTTGACTAAGTGTCGAAATGATTTTTTTCTGTAATAATGAACTGACCTTAAGTTTAACAATCAAGTACAGTCAAATGTAGAAACTAAAGAAATTTCAAAATGGAAGCAATAATTGGACTTCTCAGTAGCATTTAATACAAATCATGAGGTCATTTTGTCCCTTGTGAGAAACTATGGTTCATGACCTATAATTTTCTAAACTTTGGAAAAATAAACAAGTAAAGCTATCAAAAACAAAAAAAAAGAGGGTCAGTTTCATTGATTTTAGCCATTTTATCAATTTGGCTAATTCAAACCTCAACAATAACTTCGTTGGGTTGAAAGAGAGAGAGAATTAAATTTACAGTAGGTGATGCACCGATTGTATTAAATGACTTTAGAAAATAATAATTGATAAAGTATGTCGTTAAATTTAAAAAAATAACTTAAAACATTATTACCTAAATTCTGATGTGTCATGACATAAAACTGATGAAAAATTACACTTCAACTTAATTCAGTTCACACCGTAACAGTTGTTGTCAAGCAATTTCTTATTATAAGTAGCATCTCAACCACTACTATAAATGTCATATCCCAGTCAGACTGAACAAATTTAGTATTGAGTGAAATACCTCACTGGCACAGCACGTATACAACATCACATTATTCAACCAGAAATTATGTTTACCCTGAAGTCTCACGCTCTTGCTGGATGAAATATTGCTTGCTGCAATGGTTACACAGATCCAACAAACAGTAATGTTTACTAAAAGCTTGCTATATATCATGAAGATACAACAATTAGTGCATCTACTTATGGTATGTATAATTTCATGGTCACATGGCGGTTACAAAATAGGTCAAAATTACAAACCCCATATTCAGAGATAGTTTTTGGCAATTTTTTTTACTACTGTGACTCAAATGAATTATTACAAGAACGAAAATTTACTTTTTTAAAGTAAAACTGTATTAACTACTAAAGTTCATTTCAACAATCATGTTGAAGTCAAACATATTGATGACACATATTATTTTGACAGGATGAAACATTAAAGAAAAGCCAACATGACTTTGGGCCACTCAAAATAGTTTGGTAAAGATGATGATCAATGAAACTGATAAAACTTCGAAAAATCATAAAATGATAATGTTTTTCAATTCTTGGTGAAAGGCTAGTTTTATAGCAGATCCTCCAGGTTATGTGCAAAATATTATGATTTTTTGAAACATAAGATATGAACACAACATGTGTATGTGTCTTTCACCTTCACCAGTAATGTTTTAATCTTCTTTCATTTCACATTTAATTATACAGTGTTCCAAATTCCATTTGAAGACTAATACTTTAAATAATCTATCTTAGTGCATCATGCACATCGTTTTTATGTCCAAATATTGAAAATGTTCATTGTATGTAAATAAACATTCATGTTAATTTCCCCATTTATTAAAACATAAGAAGAAAGAAAGAAAGAGAACGAAGAAGGAAAAAGCAAATCTCACAGTCCAGAGTATAGTAACACTAACTTTGATTACTCGGGCAATGGAATGATATCAAAACCCACAGGTAAATAATTCTTTCAAAACATGCCAAGAACAATTAATGGAACTTAAATGACTCATGTATGACTTTTTTACTACCATGTTATAAATTCAAAATACCTTTATTCTCTTCACACATTTATCCATTTATTTAGAATTTCCCAGTTTACCCTCTTATAACAGTAAATAGACCTGAACTTTTTGTTACCAGTGAGTAAAATAACCATAACCTTTACACAGGAAATTGGAGATCCACAGTTTAAACTTACTTTCTGATAATCCAGATTTTCCATCAGTTCCTTGCGCTCTTCAATAATCTGTTGACGCTCTAGAATTCGCCGATGTTCCTTTTTAGCTGTCATCTTATATGCTGCAACAATTTGTTCTCGCAGGTCCTGACGAGTAGACTACAGAGAAAAACGTAAATATATTTTGCATATATCTAGGAACAGAACTGAAACACTAAATCATTTAAGGAACATTACCAGAGGTGAAATGATAATTTCAAGGTCTATATGGAATGGGAATGAAAAATATATTTATTTGAAATACTAGAATCTGAATTTTTTTTGCTTTAGGTTTTTGAATAATCAATCTTTTTTTGTCAATTATAAAAGATAAAAACAAATGTTAAAAGATGGAGTAGCCACCTAACTACAGTTGAGTCATATTTATACCTGCTCTCATCACACAGAGAAACTGTAGGAAAAAAAGTGCCAGAGGCCATGAAACATAGCAGCATATCTGTATGATGTTTATGCAACTTTACTTGTTGTGAAGATAGTTAACAACAAAACACTATTATAAATTCAGTAATGAACCTTTCATTCAAGCAAAACAGCAAATTATAACCTATAGAATACACATCACTGCTAATTTGAAATGATACAAAGACAGTATGGTTTGACAACAATAAAAATGACGCAGCTAAATCATAACATATTTGTTATATATATATATATATA